ATTCTATCTATCTATCTATCTATCTATCTATCTATCTATCTATCTATCTATCTATCTATCTATCTATCTAACTGCCTCTATGAGTACGTGAGCAAGGTGGGTGTAGGCGTTCTGTTGGGCGATGATGCACTCAGTTCAAGTAAACTGGTTGCAGATGCATAGAGAGAAAGAACGTCCACGATCAAAGAAAAACCAGCCTGTTCTTTCAATTGGCTGTGCTGTGTTTGTTGTCAGAGTAGTTTGTTTTCTTTTCCATTCCCTGAGGTTTAGTCGGGTTCAGTTTCTTAGGCTTGACGGAAGTCTGGATTCCATCCCAGATTTTTTTTTCTCTTCTGCAATTGGAGTTTTACTGGAATATGGTCACTTGGGGAGAAGAAAAAAATTGGGGTGGGGTGGGGAGAAGGGAGATGGGTTTTTTTTTTCTTTTGATTCAATCTATGCATTATACACTGCTGTTCTACACAGAACCTTCCAACCCGGAGCTCGCGAATGATTGATTGATCAGGCAGGCCAGCAGATCGAGTCGATAAATCGTTCACACCCGGCCACAGAGACATGGCCCCCATGAGCTGTAAAGTAAAAAAAACCTACGTGTTTTAGGTCTGTACCGAAAATTGTCATGTCATCATAACAAGAACAGGTTACGTTGTCTCTGTCAAGCAAACAATTGAGCACGGTATATTATTCATAAAAGATATTTAAAAAATTGGGAAATCGCATATATTTGTATTTCACTTTTACTACTGCAATATAATAATTTTTTTAAACACATTGGTTCTTATAAGGGCTGTTGCTCGACGTGGTGCTGCCAACATGGCACAACTCGTTAAGAATTGTTTTAACATCTTTTTTTTTTGGGGGGGGGGGTTGACAAAAACCAATCAGTTGTTTTATAATACACTTGTTTCAAACCCCAGCTACATAAACACACATAATAAAGCCAATTTCCTTGGAAAGTTAAATACGGAGGCGAGAATGTATTCACACTAACCGTGTTCAATGAAGGAGAAAAAATTGACACGAAAAAGAAACCCCATTATAGCAGCAGTATAGGCGGCGTTAGTGCCAGGTCTCATCTGTCTGTCTGCCACTAAGACCTCATTGCAGAGGCAATACCTATTCAGAGTTCACCACCATTAAACACACTTTTACATTACAGTGTGGCGTGATTTGACGCAAGCGGTTAAGTATACATGGCGACGTGAAACGAACTGAACGCATCATTAACTATAGTAGGGACACTTAGTTTCGTTACGGGAACCAATGAGTATCTTTTTTACTTTTTTATGGGGGAGGGGGGGAGCAAAGGTATTATGGACGAAGAAATAAGGGCGAGTTTTCCCTCCTTTTGTTTGATTTTACCTATCCCAGAGGAAGAGAAAACGTATATGGGTCGCTCTGACTGTTGACTCTTCCGTCTGCCTCCCGATCCCATTTCTTCCACATCAGGACAACGGTTTAAGGGGAAATTCGCAACGCGAAAAAAAATTCAAATTCTGAACGCAGGTTTCGTTATAAAGACCTTCGGTATACAGGCCAAGTTTGTAACCAACCACATCACGTCACTGGTTTGGCCAAGCAAAGTTGTAGAAACCGCTGCTAAAACACAAGTAACAAACAAAGCAACCAAAAATGGTGTGCTTCTGTTCGGGGTTGTAATCATGTTTGGGTTTTTTTGTGAGAGTTATTCGGCATTTCCGACAAGAAGACTTCATACAAGCGTCGAAGATAAAAGGTGTTACACGAGACTAACAAAACAAAACAAAAGTAATTGTTCTTTTCTTTAAAATTGATAATTTTTTGGAAGAATCCTAATCCCTGTACTGTACACTTACGAGGCCTTGAACCCAGAGTATTCACATCCTATGCCAGGTCAGCTTCTCAATTCTCCACACTTTAACTCGTGAGTTCGTAAAGTTAGCACACCATTCTAAAATTGTGAGAGAGAGAGAGAGAGAGAGAGAGAGAGAGAGAGA